ACGGACCGGGAAGGGCAGCTAATGTTTTCAATATCATTGTTTAGAAATATAACTCCATAAAAAAAGAAAAAAAAGTTAACTGTTAAAATTTATGTCAGACAGACGTGATCAAGATACGAAGACCTCGTTTACATCGATGCCTAGTCTAGATTTTAAACGCAACTTTTAAAACTGACGCGCCATGTTTTGATATAAACGATACGAATAACATTTCTTTCGTGGTAATGCACTAATGAATGTCGAATTAATGATATTGGAAATGATAAAAGCCATTGTAACTTCACTGATAATGCCATCGACTTTTTATATTGACCAGGAACCGCATTTTTTTGAATCTACAATTTGTTTTTGGCACAGCAATTAAAATAAATAAATACTTTTAAGATATTTAACTTGTTTCAGTCAATGCCGTTGGTACTTCGGTAAATTCTTAGAAAACACTTAGCCTAGGTTCATTAGTAGGAATGAAGCAGATAAAGGGTAAGGAACGTACAACTTGAGAGACACTGTGGGTAAAAGCTTCACACAGCCGGCGCACTACGCAATATCGAATAGGACTTGTTAGTAGAATCAATAGCCTGCACACTATTCTTATCGATGGAATACGGCATCATGTGAAAGGTTTGCGCCTCTTTGTGAATACTGCCATGCCGGCGAGCGAGATGAGCAGTACGTCATCAAACGGCGAGAGAGGTGCATCCAGTTTTTCTTCAGATAACTCCTCCGACAATTCAGAGGCTGACAAATTTGGAGAAGAGACGCTGAGTGTCCTTGTAAGAAGCATAATACTGAAGAGGCCCACCTCGGGTTGTTATCATTAGGCCATAGGAAAGGTGTTGAAGGAGAAAACAGACCTACCTGGAAAAAAAAAGATCGGGCCGACTTTAGTAGGTTTCTAAATATGGTAATTGTTTGCGCTTCCCTACTAGTCTCAATCAATCACAAACATTCTTACTCCAATAAAAGAAGTCTACTATGCATGAACCGCTTCGCGAGAGAAGAAAATTAAAAAATAAATTAAAAAATAAATATTAAATAAACTAAATAATAATTTATTGACCCTTCTCCTGGGGTGGGTGGGAATTTTTGACTTTAAACCTGCCAAACTCATTTATGCCCCTTGGAATTACAGCATCTGAATTTTTTTTATATTTTGCATCTGTACTTCCTCATTGTTATTTTCCCCAATAGGAACAAATAAATCAAGTTTAGCAGAGTATGTGTGAAAAAACAGGATTAATAAAAAATATAGTCCAATTTAAAACATATTTTCACATTGAAATTCTGAAATCAACGAAGCATTCTTATTTAATGATCTATATACAGATCTATATACAGATCTATATACAGCTATAGAAAATTGAACTCGCAACATTAAAATTCATCCTACATTTTAAGGTCAATCAAGATATTCCAATGATGTCCATTCTATCTTCGAATATAAAACATTAACAGTCATTTACATGATACATTTCAATTGGTATGTTTCAAAAGAAAATATGAAAAGCCAGAAGAAAAAAGGTTTAAGTGAATTCTAAAGACCGGTTACATTTTTGTAGCAGAGAAAGTCGATGATCAAAACGTTTTATTAATATCCACACATAAAAACACAATAATATGAATGATACACATAATAATAATACTTTCTAGGTTTTCGGAAACACGGGTAAAAGAAGAAATTACTTGAAAAATTATATTGATTTACTAAGCATAGCTTAAATGTGGCACCGGTTCGAATGTATGGGACACCCAATGAGGATCGAACACACTAGTCAGTATAAATTGACAAGCTTACTAACCATTACATCACGTATAAGAGTCCCTTGAAGTATCATAGAAATAAACCAAATCGTGTGCTCGGGAATTTTTCTTTCTTTTTTTTTTTTTAAGATACTGATTTAACATTTCCAATGGGGCATTTTTTGGCTTCTTCCCTTGCCACACTTGCCAGATGATGTTTTCATGACGTCATAAAAAAAAATTCCTCTTTGAACACTGATAGAACTCATTTGCATTCCCACACCAAAATAAGTTTAAATAATATTACAAAGGAAAAGCAAAGTTACGCATACAATATTTACCTTGGAATGAACGATTATACTCCAGTTTTTTTTTTATGTATATATGTATATATATAGTAATGGACTCTCCCGTCGGTTTCGACGTATGACAACGTAATCAATTTATTCAGTTATGAATTTTGTGCGATAATCTTAAGTGACATTTAAGACCCGCTAATGATTTACAAAGGAGGCCGCATATGGAGCAAGAGTGAGGATTGTGGGATGAAATCACTGCTAGATTGGCTGACGTTTTAGATCTTGCTCTCGTTTCTTTAAGACGATTCCGACTAGCAGATTGAAAACTGCTGAGTTCCCTAAAACACGTTGATCTCCATTCTACCCGCTTCAAGGCTAGGCGCTCGAGGGTGTTATGAGGTATATTGACAGCTGACAAGTTGCTCTTCAGCTTGTCTTTGTATCCAAGCCATTCCTGTAGCCTTGATCTAACTGGTTGTACATTAGGATCTTGGGTGTCCTGTCATGATCAGTTCTCGTAACTGAGACTGTATGAGGAAAATCTCGATTTCTCCAATATTACACATGTTAAACAGGTCTACGTTAGATGTCCTATCTTGAAGGCTAACTCCACAGATAGCACGCAGACAGCTCTTATGAAAAACATCCAGGTGGCGTATATAGTACATGTATGGAGTCTAGGACTCTGAGCCGTACAAAAGGATGGCAAGTACTGTAAACCCGAATTTTCGTATCCAGTCGAATACCCCGCTCATCCCACAAGCGATGACAAAGTTTGCTGAAAGCACTGGTAGCCTTAGCAATCTGATGCATGATTTCATAATCTAAAGTTCCACTGTAATTGACTTTGCTACCAAGATATGTGAAAGTCTTTATATAGTTCAGGGCTTTGTCTTCTACTTTCAATGGTCCCTCTGGAAATTTGTAAACGTGTTTTTTTTTCTCACCACAGAATTGCTTCGCAGTAGGACAAGGTTGGTGCACTACTTCAGTTTCCTTTATGCTAAGTGTAAGACCAAAGGCTTTACATGCAGCAGAGAAACGATTTAGTTATGTTGGGCCTCCTCAAAGAGCAGCATCATCAACAAACAACAAATCACGAACAATTTGTGTATGAAGATGGGTCTTGGCTCTGAAGGACTGATGATTGAAGAGTCCACCAGTTATTCGAGACTGAAACTTGACGCTACTCTTTGTGTCTGCGAATGCATATTTCAGCATCACCGAGAAGAAAAGTGCAAAAAGGACAGGGGCCATGATACACCGTGGCTTGGTGCCGTTCGTGACATCAAAGGATTCTGACATCATGCCATGTCACGGTATTAGCTTTCATACCTTCATGAAAGGAGATGATCACCTTTAGCATGTTTTCTGGGATGCCGACTTTCCTCAAGACTTGCCAACGCCACTCGATTCAGTGTTAAAGGCCTCCACAAACGCCATGTACAACTCTTGGTTTTTCTCACGTATTATGCATATATATATATATATATATATTGTGTGTGTGTGTGTATATATATATATATATATATATATATATATATATATATATATATTGTGTGTGTGTATATATATATATATATATATATATATATATATATATATATATATATATATATACTGTGTGCAATAGATAACTTGTGGCCAATTTAGATTTTAAATACTATACTGCTATACTGCTTGGCTTTCACGCAGAAAGCTCCAATACGGACATTTCAGAGTATTTGAGTGGACAGTGCAGAGGATTCGGAAAGAGTTGGATGAGTGAAATGATGCTTACGAAGGTACGGCATTTCGGAGAAATCACACTGATCGTTCGGATGAGAAAGAAGTCCCGAATTTGTTGGTGAGTTCCTCAGACTCAACACGGAGGAGTATATAATGTAACTTGGGGAGGTAGTGCTGCCCTGGGTCAAGAATGTAGCTGATGGAACCATGCCACACAGGCAGGAGAACCCAGGCATGGCTATCAGACAATTTCTGCGACGACATCACTGCTTACATCTGGCCATCTAACTCCCCAGACTGCAAACCCCTGGATCATTATGTGAGGGGCGCAGTTGAGCGAAAGACCAACAAAACTCTTTGTAACACCAAAGATGAACTAAAGGCAAGGATTATGGCTGATTTCACCAACTTAAACAAGGAGACCGTCCAGAAGAGATGCAGGAGATTCCAAAGTCGTCTGAAGGCCGTAGTTGAAGCCAATGGCGATTTTACTGAATAAATTTACTGTTTCAAGATATTTTTGTGTAATTTTTCCTTTTTTTTCCCTGATTAGTCACTCTCTTTCTATAGATATATATTTTTCACTTTTCTGTCTCTTTCTTAACACTTCCCCTTCCACGTTTCTGCCGGATATACTTGATAAAGAGGTCAGCATGTCGAACAAACCTCCCTGTCTTTATGTCACTTTATTAAGATGGATGCAAATACATCACTTTTCTTCTTTATCGCTTTTTCATTTCCTAATTTTGTTTGCATGTCTTTTATCTTCCACTCCCTCAATAACTTTCACCTTTCGATATATATATATATATATATATATATATATATATATATATATATATATATATATATTTCAACCCCCTCCTGCCACCATTTTAAACCTACCTCCTCAAACACATGTGTGCATAAATTAAAATTAATAATACTAAATTCTTCTCATACTTGCAATATTTTTCGCCCATTTATTTGTATGAAAATGTTGATCAGAGGAATTAGAACCGAATGTCGATTCTGAGGAGATAAATTATAATCACACTGAACCCTTTAAGTTTCTTAATATAATTAATTCATATATGTCATTCGCAGCCAGTATTGTTCCGTAGCTACTCAGTGCGACTAGACATCCGAATGCTTCAAACCAGGACCAAGTTTCTACCACTGAGCTATCATCGTTCAACAGCGAGAAGCAGCTAATTCTAACGTATTGTTTTTACGAATGTAAACAAACGCTAATTAGTCAGAGAGAGAGAGAGAGAGAGAGAGAGAGAGAGAGAGAGAGAGAGAGATGGAGAGGAGAGAGAGATAGAGATAGATAGATAGAGAGAGAGATAGTGTGTGTGTGTGAGAGAGAGAGAGAGAGAGATCAAATTTGATGTCATCAAATCTACTGTTGAAATAGAAAAAAAAAATTTTATCAGCTACCAATGAATGGGGTTCCTGTTTTTTTTTTTTAATATTCTAAGGATATTTGTAATTTCCATAAATGTTGGCGTAACTCATTTATATTTGCCAACCGGTTACTTTTCAGTTATTGTACTTTGATTCAGAAGTTTTCTGAATTAAAGAACTAGTTGCCGAATCATTAATGTCAGCAATATTTTTGATTTGGTGCCAAAGACAAAGTTGGCAATTCTTATCCAAAATAAAACGGTTATAAAATGAAAGGCACGATGCGTTGATGTGAAATGTTTTCGGAATTTATCCTAACACATTTTAAAATCATTTTGTCTGATAGATGCAATGACTCATCAGGTAAAAATTATCATTTCTTTCCTAGGTGTATAAAGTTAAATTTGACTGATACGGATTTTATCCGAAAACAAAATATACCCGAAAAGGAATTTTGATATAAAAAATACTATCACGGATTTTTCTCAATTATTTTTACAAAATGTTTTACTCAATTTATACAGTACCATGCAAAAGTCTTCAGTTATGTTGTTTTTAATCTGTAAATTTCTAATAATTCTTATCTTGTCAGCAGATGTTTGATATCGAGTGAATTATTGGCCTTTTCTGGGTCATTAATAAGCTTAATTATCATGTAGAAACATTCTGGATGGGAGGAAGGATGATTCAATTGCAAAATTTGCTAAGCAAAAAGATTTCAGGATTCTTTTTTTGTTTAACTTGTCTCCAGAAATTATTTTTTTTCGCACTGATACTTAAAAATAAAATTATAATTCTGATTTGGATTTTTCATTTCTTCAAATCATAGAGAAAAATTCCGAAAGAAATAAAATTAATATAGCAAATATAGCGGAAATAGCAGATGTAACCAAGGCTAAGTAGACAAAAAACGAACATTTATCGACAAAAGTATTTGCGTTTCTGTATTGATGGAAGAAAACAGTAATATCAAAGACCCGAGGAAAACATAAAAAAATTTGCAACAAAAGCTTCTTGTACATTTATATACAAAACAGTGTAGTATCGTACAAGGATAGAGAGAAATGTCCTTTTATATTTTAGAAACAAAAAATATCTACATATCTGCCGGTGGAAAGAGAGTGATATTTATTTACTTTCAGTGCCACTTCTGAAATGCCGAAAATTTATCCTGTCAATAGGATCTCTTTGATGATTTGTGCCGTATCATTTCTTGACTAGTCTAACTTTGGTGAGTCAGCAACACATCTGACCAATCAAAACGCGACACTAAATCACTAAAGATTCTTTGATAAAGGTATCATCAACCAACTTCTAATTTCTATTCATGGGAGTAGTGGTTGCGTAATTATACGATTATAATTTGGCAGGAGTTATTAGTTAGTCTCATGTGAGTAGGTGAACTAAAGGTGATTTCAATAAATGAAACTTCTGGAAAGCATAAAATATTAAAAGAAACTAATGTCCGTAGAAAATATTACATAAGAAATTCATTATAAAAGATAAACTTGTGGATCTGACTTGAGAAATGAATCTTTCTATCTTGCTTGCTATCTCATTTTGTAACTAACTTTTTTCTATTAATTAACATACACGAGGATTTAATTAACATACACGAGGATTTTATCTCGTAAAAGAGTCTGTTTTTAGATCTTAACATGTTTTTTAATATTATCAAAAGCGGTACGAACCACCATGATAACCAAATGTCAAAACCATCTGACATTGAATATAAAAGGTATTTTTAAATAGACCACTGATGGGAATCAGTGGTGTATTCCCATCGATAGCGTAGTGAATACAATCGTTGAACCTGATAGTGAAACACTGGTTCAGCAGGAACGAACAATAACTTGCATCATAGGAATAAAATAATACAATAATCAACAGATAATCAACGGTCAAGCAATGGACACTTGATAATGCCCGTAGGGAACATGGCTAAATATTGTCTATAATAATGAAAATGGCAAACATAGCTCGAATAAATTAAAATTTCATTTCAAAATTGAAATAAAAAATATTTTATATATGATCACTAAGATGGAAAGTCGAGCCCGAAAGACTGAAATTGAAAGAGTAATGAATACAACATTCACTTGAGAATGAAAAATGATTCAATACTCGAATGGTTATGCTAAAAGTAGGTATTATGGTAAAATAATTCTTTTAATAATGTTCTTATCGTTTTTTTTTCAGATAAGATTTTCAAAATTGCAAATATTTAGTTTAGTTTTTTTGCACTGATTATTTAAGAAAGAATGGCACAAATTAATAAAACCAGTTAAGTAATTGTGAAACTGTTACGTGACCATATATAAAATCTCGACAGTTTTAGCAATTGATTATGACACAATTTCTAGTTCTGTTTGATTCTGGGAATTTGATGACATTTATGAAGCTCATAACTGAATGATTGGTTAATATAATTTGATTATGGAATAGATAATCAACCAGTCGAACAGTTGAGGTAAAGAGGGAAATGCCTTTTCGGTTATATTGATTGGTCAACACATGACAACAAAATGGCTGTTGGTTTTCTCTGTCATATTTTTTCCTTCTGCTACCATTTTATGCGCCAAGATAATTTGATCTCATTTAATATTGATGAAAAATATTTTTCTTGTTGGTCAGTGTATCCTTTTATGAGAGAAAGGAAAACTTTGTTGTTTTGTAGTTTCCTAATTGCACCCGAAAGGGAAAACCACAATTTTATTTCGTCCTTAATTTTCTTATTTTTATTTCTTTTCGCCAATTTTCTTTTTTTTTGTGCTTATTTCTTGCTTTCTTAATCCGTTCTGTTTTTCTTTTCCTTCTTTTTTTTCCTTCTTTTTTTTCCTTCTTTTCTTTTCCTTCTTTTTTTTCTTTCTTTTTTTTTCCTTCTTTTTTTTTCTGTCTTTTTTTTTCTTTTTCTTTCTTTATTCCAACATGGTCTTTTCTGGTACTTTAAAAAAATCTGACTTCTCATTATTTTTGCATTTTTTATCTTATCTGTTGAGAAATTAATTCTTTCTCTTTCTCTTACCTTTCTTTTTCACTTACCTTTCATTCTTTTTCTTTCTCTTCTTTTCCTTTCTTTCTCACATATATATTATGTGTGTGTGTGTTTTGTGGTTCTTTGTGTATCAAATGCATATCCATACGATTTATCCTCCCAAAATTCTGAAGAATTTATAATAATAGTCTTACGATTGAACAACAAGAAATGAGTTAGAGAAAAAAATGAAAAAAAAAATCAAGTTCAGCTATATAAGAAATATTCCGAACGAATGTGTTCACACATATGTTAGGTCAAGATGCTCATTATCAATTAAATACCTTAAGATTATATATGTACTTTGTTTGGTTAATAACTAACTGATTTAGTAACGATATCGAATTGAAAACATTGTCATAAACATTAGATATAAAGATACTACGTATTTAATGTTTAAATACTGAATTACTTTAATTGTTGGAAATATATGTATCGACTTAATAAACCTCCCTCTTTCCATCTGACTAAATGACAACAGTGAGTAAAAGTGTTATGGCATGAATTGCTTGTATGACGTCATGAATTAACTTATTTGACCCACCCAATATTAAGGCTTCTGTTCTCTGGTCATCTTTTTTTTAGTTGCAGCTGCGTTTATTTTACTAGTGACTCTATTCTGTTCCATTTCCTTGTATTTGTGACAAACATTTAGTTTTTTTAGGTTTATTACGCTTTATGATTTATATATAAATTCCACTTTTTCAGTCCACTTTTTGAGTCCACTTCTTGAACCTACAGTATCAACGAGTCGACAAGACTTTGAACTGTTTACACTGATAATCAACCAGCTACTGATGAAAAGAACCAATAAAAAATTCTTTTTTCGTCAACTTGATTATCGAATCGTTCTTTGTGTGTGTGTTTGTGCAGAGAGAGAGAGAGAGAGGTGGGGAATGCTTTTAATAATAGTATTTATTAGCGTCTTCGAAATATCATGGCATTTGATAAAAAAACTCCCTCTCCTCGCACTAACCATATTTTGTAATGACTTTTAAAAGGGTGACATTTTACGAAGTTTCGGTTCTGGTGCAAGGACTGTAATTTGTAAGTTTATACAGATCTTATTGTTTGGGTTTGCTACTGTGAACTCGAAACAAATTTGTTTTGATTTGTTTTGCAGAAACACCACTTTTCATCATTGTCTGGCAATGGAATCAGTTAAAAGCAGCTTTCTTTGTAATTTATATATATATATATATACACACACACACACACACACACACACACACACACACACACACACACACATATATATATATATATATATATATATATATATATATATATATATATATATTCCCTTTCCACTTTATCTATTTGAAATAGCGAAAGGGAAACTGAAATGGGATACAGATGTGTGTATGTGAGTGTTTGATAGATATATGCTTGTATTTATATATATGCATATAGATAGATATGAATTTTGCACTCACTCTCTCTCTCTCTCTCTCTCTCTCTCTCTCTCTCTCTCACACACACACACACACACACACACACACACACACTTTTCTTTTTTTTTCTTTTTTCTTTTTAAATAATTTTGACTTAGATTTTCTCAGGAGAATCTATTCAACGAAATATTCACACAAAATTTATTCTAGTCACAACTCTAGCTTCATGTGCCGTATTTATATACAAAGAGGTTTTAGTCCCGAAACGCATGAACATGCTTCAATCACTGGCAAACACCCACTTTTGGCCCATTTGGTCTGACGTCAGTAAGAAAATACTTTATATATTGTTTATACTAGGGAATGGTGTGAGTAATCATGGGCAATATAAAAAATGTTTAAAAATTTCTGTTTTGTTTCTTTATATTTCCCCGCTTCATGATTGCAGACAGAAGCTCCCTCTGTCGGTTCACCACACATTTGACACATTCACATGGAAACAATGACACCTTTGATGAAAAGCTGAAGATCTTATCCCGATTTTAAAAATTTGCAAAATAAAACAAAAAT